TCCAAGATGGCTTATTCGAGTCAAACCTCTTCTTCGACTAAAGTCCCACCTCCATTATCGACCCCGTCCTCATCAGAAAACTTGGCATCTATAGTGACATCTTCCTTGTATGAACCATCAAGTCAATCTCACGTGGCATCAATCACAGCTGTTACAATATCTCCCTCGATGGGGGCTCCTGAACTTACTTCTGGAGAAGCATTAGTACCAGGTGCTTCCATCATATCCACTCGGTCTCTTTCCCCGTCTGAAGCTTTATCAAGTCACTCTTCGATAAAGTCTGAAACTCTGGATATTCTTACTGAACCTACCACAATCACATATATCACCACTACCACCAAAACCTGGGAAGTTTATACTAATGATGAGGAAAATACTGCCTCTGGAGCTGGAAGATCGAAAGTTCCTGATGGGAAAGTGATCAGCCACGATGAAAATGAGGGTGCAGTGACTTTCACCAGCATTTCTACAGGCACTATCGAAGTAATAGTGACCACTGACTCAAACGGCCAGCCATTCACGACTTCCCAAGAGATTTCGATTTCTGCGGATACAGCCGGAGACTTAGGATTTTCTACAGCAACTAGTTCAACCGCTTCACCTACAGTTTCTGCGCTTGAAGGTTCGGGGTCAACCAGAAATTCCTCGTGGTTATTATTCTTCAGCGTTGTGGCATTGTTGGCACTCTCCTAAAAGTTGTCTAATTTAGTGCTTCTTTGCATGCCCTGTTTGTTCATACTGGCTTTTATAGAGACACCTGTAGAAATATCAATACGTTTCAATGATAGATTATACAAGACTAGCTACCTATCTAATATCGGAACAAAATCCTTCAGCTTGATAGGACGTTATGATTCTATTTGATAGTTTCTGAAACCATCCTAATGCTTCGAATGCATGGTCGATACTATCAGTAAACTTTTAATACCACCAACACATAGCCACACTCACGAAGTCTCTTCACAAAATAATATTTAATCAAATTACAAATCTAATCATTTGTTTTCAAGCACATTAATCCCAAACATTGGCAGGACTTCCCAGGCTCCAATTCTTTGAGATATTCCATTTTTTGATCTTCCAGACACCATCTCCAACTTTGAATACGTCCAAGGTTTGGGAACTCGCATTAATATAAGCCTTATTGTCCTCTTTAAAGGCATTTTCCGGCTTAATATGATATGCTACACATTGAACTGTCAATTGGGCAGCTCCTTCTTCCTTGAACTCAACCCTGGGACTGGTGAGATAATGAGTTGTAGTAACTGTAAAAAGGTGGCCACTGGTATACCCAAAAAAAGGTTCCCAGCCGTTGACAACAACGTCACCCATGACAAAGGTCAACTCTTCATTTTGGAGGCAAGCAGAGCCAAACAATTGAGCATCATTGGTGTCAATACCAAGCGTGGCTCGGTAGACGGTATCTATAATAGCTTCCCGTTCACTCAAAATCGATGAAGACATTCTTTTTGGAGTTTGAAGATAGTGTCGTAGTTGGCCAATTTTATACCAATTTGTCCCGGGAGCTCGGAATATCATGTAGTCCGGTAGGATTATCTGGCTTCCGGCACTATTTTCAACATTGAAACCAGGATCATAACATCGCTATATTATATGTCGATGTACTTGTATGATTTCTGGCTCTCTAACCGTGCAAGGAACATGCAGATATGTGGATTCTATCAAAAGTTAGCATAAATCAACTCGCACCCTGAAGCGGTCCAGGTGAGGCGGGTTTCGAGGTTGGTATATGCACATACTGTGTGCACATAACGCGCGGTTCACTTAGCTCTAAATTCAGGATTACACAACCACATGATCTTCAATCACTCCGAACAAGTACTATAAGCATGTGGAAAAAATATGACAGGACAGTATCATGACAGAAAATTATCGCAAGTTGTCAGTTAGAGTGAGGAAATCGTGGACCTATTTGAAGCGAATACCAGACACAATAAAGGCTTCTTAGGGTTATAACATTCCATTGCAAAATTCGCGCTCACAGAAGACTTACTCCTTTCTTAATTAGAATGTGTTTTCTTGCTTGCATTGTGTATTTTCTGCAGCTACTGGGAACATTTGTTTTTTCTGAAACGCTAAGAACAACTGTGTCCCCTAGGTTCATATGGAAAGAAAACTACCAAGATCCCAGCGAAAATAAACAAGGCACCGCTGATAAATATAGGGACTGAAGTGGCTAAGTTCGCATAAATGGCAATTATAGGCGCAAGAATACCTAGTATTCGATTGGCTGTTGCAGCCAAGCCAACTCCTGTTCCTCTGATTTTGGTAGGAAATATCTCCGGTGTGTAGGCATATAAAACCCCGTACATAATGTTTGACACAAAACTGAAGGCACAGTTCCATCCCAAATAGGTATTAGAAGTTTTGGCGGAGGTGGAGGCAAAAAGGAACACTCCTGTGAGTATTAGAGATCCCATTAGAGTCCCCTTTCTACCAAATTTTGTTTCCACACAGAACCCAGCTACAAAGGTTCCAGGTATCCCCACCAGTGATACAATCGAGGAGTTTCGATACGTCTCATGTAGGTTTAAAGGCTTGTTCACATCGCCTTTTGTTTGGAGGAAATATGGTACGAAGGCATTGTACAAGGGAAATGCTAATCCGATAATCGCCCAGGTGCTAATCACAAGTATCGTTGACATAGCTATTTTCTTTGAACGGAAACAGTTACGTATGTGCTCAGCATTGAACTTTTGTATTTTATCATTGAACAACCGGTTCTTTACAACATTCTCTTCGGGGAATTGCTCATCCACCTTTTGCAAAGCTTCTAGAGTAAGTGACACTTCAGTACCGTTGATCTTAGCAATTTTTTTGAGAGTCTCGATAGCCAAGTCGTCTCTACCACAGGCTACGTAAAACCTTGGAGATTCGAATACAGGGAAACAAAATCGGGCAATAAAAAACAAAAGAGTCAATCCTCCCATTGTGAACAAAAAATATCTCCAACCCTTATTATCAGCCTTCAAGCAAGTTTCCGAATGTGTATCGCATGAGTAGTTACCTATCAATCCCCATGCAATCAAGTTAGCAGCTAGCTGTCCAAGAGCCCACCATCCAGACATCATAGTAAGAAGCCACTGGTGGGTGCTAGGAAGTGCTTCAAGAAACAACGCAGAATCCACTGGAAGATTACCACCAACACCCACTGACCACAACGACACAAACACAGACAATGTTCCAAAGTTTGGAGCTGAACCTGCTACTACAGCCCAAACTCCTGTAATTAAAAATGACAAATTGAAGGGCCATCTTCTGCCGATTACATCTGAAGACAATGACCAAACGGCTGCTCCTACCAATAACCCGAGATTTTGGGCTAATCCCAAGTATGGACCTTTTCCTCTTGGTGGATGAATTCCGTCTGTCTCTCTAAGAACAGGTATCATCAAACTGGTGGTCACAGGCCAGGCATTATCAACAAACCACCCGAAGCCTGCGACAAAGAAAAGACCATATTGGTATCGGCCGAAGCCAATTTCGTTCATTGACTTGCATAACATTGCAGTTTTGATGAGATAGTTGTGAGAAAAGTCAGTTGTGTCAAACATCAATGAGTCTACAATTGAAAATCTCTCTTCGGCAACTCTCATAGTGTTCTCACCTTTGGTTTTCGGAAAAGACACCAGTAAATGGACGTCATCAGCTTCAAGTTCCTCAACAATAGCACCAGACATTTCGTTAAATGAAGCCATACTTCTTGAGTCACACTTCCAAGGTTCAGGTACAGTCAAATATTTTTATGGCCACTCGTATATGATTGCAGTTATTTAGTCGGGCGATTGCGAATAAAAGTATGCAAGTCTCAAATGTGACGGTTTTCGAATCTGTCAGATCACATTGAATGAACAGGATGAATAGGTATCTAGCCTTTTTCCCTAATAGGTCTTTAGCAACATCTGAAGCAGTGTCTTGCAAGCCCTTCTTGGCTGTCAAAGCCTCAGTTAAATTGTCCTACAAAAGAGCGTCAAAATCAGGGCATTAATACCTAATGGTAAAAGCTCCTGTAGCGGCAACCAATTAAACAGTCTAGATTTGTTGCGACAAGTCTCATAAGCTTCGGCTGCGAAAATATACAACAGACTTTCCTGAGCACTACCGCGTTGCATCAAATATCTGGTGTAAAACTATTTAATACAAATTCATAATTGAGCGAAAACCTTCATACGGGCGAGATCCAATTTTTGATATCTATTTTATCCGCACACGAACTGAAACAACCCAAGACAATCAATCGATGTTTGATGTTCAAGCTGCGGTTGAGGTTGGTTTCATTTATTTTGTTAGTTAGGCCGAATATTCTGGTATTACATTAAGTGTAGTTATTAGAATATTGAAAAGTTTCTAAAATGAGTAATTTTAAATTTATTGAACAGAATTAATGGATTTTGCGAATTGAAGAAAATTCTAAGTAGAAATTGCTTGATTGATAATTCGTAAACTCCACCCAAAAACGGGGCACACATGCTCATACACGGTATTCTCCATAGAATTTGGTTTTTATGATGCAACTTCTACACTATGTGGTTCCGAAACAGGTTTGCCCCCAGCCTTCCTTGTAGACGGACTTAAAACTTTTTGGATACGCACATTTCTCGTTAGCCTTAACTATCAGATTTTTACTAATCGCTCGGATTTAACGGATTGCCAAATATAGAAGCATTGTTCATAATCAGATGCAGGATATCTGACATACGTCGTCAGTTTTCCTGGTCTGTAGTACGAAAGCAGAAAGGGGCATCATTTATAACAACAAAGTAGATACAGCAGATTTGGATACTGACCTCTTCCAATGAAATAAGAGAATGACACCTCCTATCCTACCCCTTTTTTCAGGCTTATAGGATCACAATAACCCCTTCATGCACAAACCCGTACATAGTTATATTGTTCATCTAAGTTTGGTCTATAGCAGACGCTGTATATCGTGTTGTATGCTATATAATCTACGGTAGGGACACGAAATGAAGTTTTGTCTCAATTCCTTCGAAAACATAACGCCGAAGTTGTTTTGGGTCCCTTCACGACATAACATCATAGTCGAAGAGATCTTCTTTATATGGAGACCCCTCGAGCTGATGAACCATGCCTGTCCATTTCATCTAGCTTGTACAGTGTTTCTTGAGCTCCCCAAACTTCTCCTTCGCAATCATAAATATGCGGCCAACACTGGATAGCATAGTCGTGCGACGTCAGAACTTGATAGAAAAATTTACTGGAGATGTCAGCCGGGACTTCTACACTATCCGAAATTGACATTTGACAAGGAATCAGGCACGTGTAAACCGTTGGATACAAAATAATTGAGGTATTCTGGTCAATGAGATTGTATCTGTTCCGCCACCAACATGACATAATGAATGTTAATTTTCGGATTACCCGGGCTCCTAAAATATATTTTCTTGACACCGTTTTTGAATCTGCACTTCATGGATTATTCAGGTTATGTCTCCATCCACTTTAGTTTTCTTGAGGGGGATTTAAAACGCATGGAGAACTAGGGCGATGGGATTTAACAACACGGGGTAGTTCAAGAGGCACCCTCTACCAGAACTTTTCACAGGTTTGATTGAACTGTGCTCTTTTCTCATGTCTACCAAACACCATAGCAATACCTGACATCTTTTATTTTGTAAATCCTTTGCCCAAAGCTGTTAAGCTGGCCGGCGGAAACCAGTCAAATGTTTCACTTTTTTAGGCGTGTATTACAAGATACCAAACCTGGGGTCCTTATTAGTTTCTTTAGTATGAAGACGTATTGGCATTCAGAACCAGCCCAACAGATTCCAAAAAGGATTAATGGCTGGGTATACTGCCCCATTTGTAAGAAGTTGCCTTTAGAAGGCCTATTTGATTTATCTACAGAAATATTCAATAGCCTCATTAGTGAAACGATTCACCGAATGTGAATACTATCCAGCATGAAATGCCTGAGCTGATTCATGTTGTTGTCAAATAATGATCAATTTATTGTAGCTGCAAGTTTAAGATTTTCTCATATTTCACGAGCAACCATTTATAGGAATATCCTATCTACTTAAGGTATGAAATTGGGGGGGGGAAGGAAATAACGGCGTCTTCACATTACTAATTTGGAAAAACAGGAGCCAGGACAGAGCTTATCAAAAGATAAAGATAAATCAAAGTTTATTCAAAAATAAAAGTATTTCTAATGCAAGGTTCCGAGCAACCAAAACGAGTCATGGAGATGCCAAAGTATGCAGTATATTTTGACATAGCCCTTATACTCAAATTTTTGAACCTCTTTGGGTAGCTCTCTTTGTATGGGTCTGTATGTTGGGATGGAACTTCATTTCTGCTATCCACATTGAGCTGGTTTTGCTTAAAAAGGTGGGAACTATGTGTAAAGAGAATCCCATAAGCTTTAATCTTATTTTCAATTGTTTTTACTAAGATTCTCACCCATTCTGGTCTTGTTCTGCTCTACGATGGTGATTAAGTATAGGTAAACATCGTATAAACATCAACAGTATTTATATTGATTAAGAGTCTTGAAGATTGAAGTCAAACAATAATGAACAATCGGTTCACGGTAACTCTTCTTTTTGTTATTCAGCTTCTTTGTGCTACAGCCACTGCTGATACTATCGGGGGATGTAGCCCCCAATCTGTTTCTAAAGGTTTATACGTCGAATATATCAACACCACTTGGAATGAATATGGTATTTTCACTCAGTCTGAAGTTACTGATGGGCTTTCTGCACTTGACAAAACCGAGGCCAGTATCTCCTGGGGAGGGGTAACCAACCAAAATTTCTATTACTTGGCTGATTCTGGTTCTTCTGCTGTGTATGATGACTTATACGGAAAAACGGTTAACATAGCGTACTTTGGTTTGAGACTCTCGGGGTATTTTTATGCCAGTTCAACGGGAGATTACACTTTTGAGATAAGCTTTGCCGATGACGCTTTGTCTCTTGCTATTGGAGCAGGAGTCGCAATGGATTGTTGTGCATTGGAACCGCTCACAGGAAATGTCGATGAAAATGCTTACGTCTATAAAACAAATACGAGCACAAGTGTTACGAAGACACTTAGCCTTACAGCAGGAGTCTATTATCCTATTAAGATGGTCTACTATCAAGCAACTTTCATAGCTGAGATTGAAATGTCGGTACTCTATCCTGATGGAACAAATCATACAACTGATATTGACTGGTACAGCTCCACGGATAACAGTACATCTTGTCCTTATTACACAACCACCACCGTTATATGGACAGGATCTGACACTGAGACTATCACAGAAACAGCCTCTGATGGGGATGTATTTGTTACCGTTGAGGTACCAGAATCAACAACCACCACTACTGAGCCATGGACAGGTACTGGTACTACTACAACCACAATCTATCCATCCAACCAAAGTGATCCTGTAACTATTGAAGTCAAAACTCCAGAATCAACAACTTCCACTACTGAACCATGGACTGGTACTGGTACCTTCGAGACAACAATTTATCCTTCGAATCCAAGTGACCCGGTAACGGTGCTTAAGAAGACCCCAGAATCGACAACCACTACCACTAGTCGCGGAACTATTGACACAACCTTCACTTTAACTCCTTCAAACCCAAGTGATCCAGTGACTGTTGTTGTTGAGACGAGTCCTACTTCCTCAAGTCCTAATTCCTCAAGTCCTAGCTCAAGTGCTTTAATCCTGTCGTTTCACTGGTTGAATTCAAGTACTTTAATATTATCTTCAAGTATTCGTTTGTCAACAGGTTCATCGTCGAACGTTGCTTCTTCATCTAGTCCAGTACCATCTTCAAGTGTTGTTTCTCCTTCTATTCCAGTACCATCTTCGAGTGTTCCACCTACACCACCACCTTCAGGAAGTGTTGTTACTATTACCACCCCTTGGACTGGCTCTGTTACATCAACTTACACCACAACTGGAACTGATGGTAAACCAACTGTTGTTGTCGATACCCCTGTACCTACAATCACTACTCCATGGACCGGCTCTGTTTCATCAACTTACACCACAACTGGAACTGATGGTAAACCAACTGCAGTTGTTGAAACCCCAGTTAGTGTTTTCACTATAACTACCCCTTGGACCGGCTCTGTTACATCAACTTACACCACAACTGGAACTGATGGTAAACCAACTGCAGTTGTTGAAACCCC